TTAATTACATAAAATTATAATATATACACAAAATAATCATAAATTGCCCCTTTGTAAATAGTTCGTGATAACAAAGTTGTAGTATTTTTCGATGAAATACTGGTTACTTTTATTGATATATATTATACATAAAGTTTGGAAAACTTTAAACTTGTTACAAGCCAACATAATATATCACATAAAAGGAAATCCTACGATTCTACGAATAGTGTACTCACTTAATCATAGAGGAAAAGTTTTATATACATAAACAAAAACTTGTATATAATAAAACTTATTAGTAGTGTAAACACTACTTGAGGCGGTTGTTACGGCGGTTGTTGGATCCTGCTTCATCTTGTGCTTTCCAGCGCCTTTCTTGTGCAGCTTGATGCTCTCTCAATTCTCTTATCTCAGATTGAGCAGCATTGACTTTCCTCTGAAGGGCTTCTGTATGATTCTGGGTGTCGTCCTGCATTTCATCAAGACGAAGGATATCCGAAGTGTTGGTCTGTGCAACAACATCTATTTGTAGGATTCGATTGATCGAAATCCTTGCTTGATCGGTTTGACGGGCTATTCGATGTACTATAACCGGAAGAGCTCTATCGGCTGTTCCTCCTCTAGAGACATCATAGAAACCTCTTGCCATCCCATAAGGAGGGCGTTGGCCATCTTGCCGACTCCAGTGGTTTATATACTCGCCCCATTCTGGTATAGGTTCTGCTTCACCTTGTCTCAGGAGGCGTTCCCCATGATTGTAGACTTGTGGTTCCGTGTCGGTACCACTTGATTCACTGTCTTCGAAAGGTTCTTCATCTGAATCTGGATTCCAACCCGCATCTTGTTGAATGTAGGGGTGTCCAGGTAAGTTATATTCAACCATATTGTCTGTACGAGAAGTAAGGTTTATGAAATATAAACAGAATTAAACGCGTGGTTTTATAGTATTCCAAAATACTCCTATAGTATTTTATATTTGATTGTGTAGGTTTGGTAAGTTTTTAGACTTGTTGCAATACTACAATCATTCCTAGGCATATGCTAATCACTTCTCGGATAGATATAGTTGATCAGGCTATATTTATCCCAGAGTTGATTATATATCCCGAGGTCTACTTGTACTATTCAACAATCATAATAATTTTATTTAATCTTTACTCTGATACTACTTCTAATATGTATGTATGCATGTTATATACTTTTTAAAATACTTAAATTTTAAAAATATATTTCTAGTCAGAGCGTTACAGCCCCAAATGTATTTATAGTTGTATATCTTTTAATGGCTTGATATACTTAGTTCACTATAAACAAAGCTCTGATACCAATATGTCACATCCCCAAACCTGAACGGCGGAAACGTTCGGGGGTGGATGACTTCATGTGTAGTATCAGAACAATGCACAATAGTAATCAAAGTACAACATCCATTACATTGATAAAATATAACTTTACATGTGTGTTCAAACCATTGTATATTAAACACCAAAAAGTATAATTAACAAACATAATTATATAAAACTTTGTCTTCCTCAAAACTTGTTGGTACCTGTTTAACGATTTCCTGAAAATACAAGTAGTTTTGAAAGGAGTGTCAACAATTAAGTTGGTGAGTTCATATGTATGTTGTAAAAATATTCTGTCTTTTGTTTTCTAAAAAGTAAATAAATTCACCCAGAAAATCCTATATTTTCTGTTGTATATGTATTTGTGTTCTGAAATAGTATAGATTTAAATTCCCATAAAACTATGAAAAGTATGTTTTCACTGTACTAGAATAGTATTCTGTATATATACTTGTATGAAGACTTGTCAAATTATAATTATTGTATTATAGTTTTAATTTATTAAAACTATGTGAAGTTGTTTACTTATTCTTACACTAAACATATTATTCAATATCAAATTGTGAGTTATCATAAACCATGCTTGATGACCTAAGCCTCGCCTGAAACACAACGTTCTTCAGGCGTTGTAATTTGGTACGACAATTGTCACCCCAAGTCTGCCGACTTGACTGTAGCTAACAGTCGGGATGTGGGATTGTCAATCCCATATAGATCTATATACAAGTGTCATGCTCTCCCTCCAGGAGACTCTGGTTATAACTTTCAGGACTTTTGTTTTATACCTAAATAAGTACTTGAAGTGTGTCTCACAAATACTATATTGATAGTTATGTGTAGAATATTGAAAAGTATCTTTGTAATAGATATATTGTAAATATCTCATAAATTATATTTAATATAATTTATATAGTTAATTTCATCAGAAACTCTGAATATATATAAAGCATATGTAATTCCATAAAGTGTATTGATAAACATGTATGAATCATAAATTATACCTATTATAATTTATATGTTTATTGTTGTAATAAATTCCAAACCGGTAAAATAGTTTGTTGATAATAATCGTAAACTAAATAAACAAGTTTTGTTATTTATACGAAAATTCATTGTATTTTACTTGTATTTCCCCACTGAAAACATTATAAAAATAGTGAAAATATAGGGGTATAAACTCACTTGATAGTCGTGAAAAATTGAGTAGTACTTCGTTGTTAAAAAGACTTTATTTCTGAAAATTGGGCCTTGCGAGGGTTCGTATTTTGAAACCGAAAGACTCTATTTTTGTTGACTTCTTGCATCTCGGGATGTTTCTTGAGTGTTGAATATGATACCGGGGCTTCGGGGGTTTGTAAGTAGTTTTGTGGGGGTAAAAAGTGTAAAGAAATATGAAATTGTGGGTAAAAGTTGTGTTGGAACCGGGCAATCTCGCACCCTTATATAGGGGCGAGACTTCGGACCGAAGGGGGGAGTCAGCAGGACACGCGCCAGCAGGCGAGGAGGGACACGGAGCGAAGCTCGGAAGGCGCTACGGATGCGAGGCGTGTCGGTTTTCCATTGGACCGCGGCTGACACGAGGCCGACACGGGTCATCTCGCATGTGAGGTGACGTGGCGGTTACTGTTCATGCGAAATTATCCGGTTTTCAATTATTTCTCGATTTTTGAGCCAAAAACTTCTGAAATTCATAACTTTCGCATACGAGCTCCGTTTTTTATGTTCTTTATATGCACGCGTAGGCGAGAATATAATCTACAACTCTCGTTTAAACTTCGTCGGCTAATTTTGACTTTATTTTTAATATTATTATTTTTAAAATAAGTTATAATAGTTAACCTAGACTGTTACATTGTGAATTTATAAGTATATTGGTAGAGTTTAGACTCTAATAACTATAGAATTTCTCCGGTTATGACATTATCTCAAAAATAGTGAACTGGAAATTGATACAATTCAACAATAAAAAAAAAAGTGAAATTATTAGCCAACAAATGTAACACTATTGCTAAACTCTCGATAAATCAACAAACGTTATGAAATTTATAAAATCATATTTATCAACCCTCAACACTTACCTTTTTTAAAAGTTACACATGTTTTCAAATTGTAAAAACCTTCTTATACTTCATGTTTGAGAAACTCCCTTGTTCCTCCTCATTTCCGAAAAGGTATTCGATTTTAGCTTGTCACTACTTTGTTATAAAACGGTTTGTTGTAAGCATATTATACATGCTTCTCAAAGTACCATGGCTTCCAATTTTAGTGTATTCAATTTTGTTTGAGATTAATTCTCATGGTTTCCAATTTTAGTCTTTTATTTCATATTTATTTATTTCACAAAATATTTCTAGGTAAGGTAACTTATCTTAGAATCCTATAAAAACATTATGTTCCTAGTAATTATCGTATACGTATGTTACATGTTCCATGAGAGTATTGATTCATGAAACCTAATAAATTGTGTATCTCATGAGTTACTTAAGCAAGAGTTAGGTCATATACAACCGGGATCATAGACATAAATACATTCGAAATTAATACAAAATCACCTAAGTTATTTCAAAATAGTGAAGTGGAAATTGGTACAAATCAACAATAAAATAAATAAATAAATAAAAAGTGATATTATCTGCCAACAAATGTAATAGTATTGCTGGACTCTCAGTAAATCAACAAACGTTATGAAATTGATAAAATCATATTTATCAACCCTAAAACGAATGCATACCGGCAAAATCTAAGCAAATAAAGAGACGATAAGAGAAGATAAGGAGATTTTAAGACTTGAAACTGACCTTGTTGATGCCCGATGAAGAAGGAGGAAGCAGTTAATTGTAAGATTTGAGGGTTACTGAAATCAATCAGGGGAATCAATTAAATTAAGAAGTCAATAAGACACATAATCCCTTAATCGAAAAGCCAAAGCGCCAAATATAGAGACTACTACATGAAGAAACCAAAAAGATAATTCGTGCTTACATGTACAAACGAAGAAAGTTTAAAAGCACTGGTGAAGGGTTATCTTTCTTCGTTGGATATAATTTGGGTATGTTCTAGAGGCTCAACATAAACTGAAACCTAAAGATAACCAATATAGCAAGAACACTTCGTCTGATTATAGTGATCGAATATTATTTGGGTATGTTCTACAAGTTAACTTTAAACTTAAATCTAAAGGAAACCATGATGATGGATATAGACATAGACCCACTGAAGAAATCAACTAAGGAGACAAAACCGACATGAATTAAGAGCATTTGCTGCAAAAAAAAACACTCCCCATAAACTAATTAAAGGGATCGTATGCAAGATGGGTGTGTTCAAAAAGTCTGAAATATAGACTAAAAAACCACGAACATATGAAAATGGTTGATTTGCTGATATTCTTGAAAAAGAAGAAACAACTGCGCTTCGAGACATGCAAGAAAAGATCTATTTATTAAATATGAAATATCATAATGACAAACATAAGGGAAAAGAGAGAAGCAACATTTGAATTAATATAATATATAATATATACACATACAATATATAATAATATATAACATAATTGAATTTATTTTAGGCCCAAAGGATAATATTGGGTTATGGGCTTGTGAATTAGCTGATGATATGTATCACGTATCAATTATCATATGGATATCATATTATCTTTTTAGACCTAACTGAATTTTATTCTGGGGAGACACTTTTGGTTGTTGGTATTTGTGAAGATTTTGATTTTTGAAGATGGGTGAAGAAGGACAAGTGATTAGTTGTCACACTGTTGATGCATGGAATCAACATCTTCAAAAAGACAAGAACAAATTGGTACGTCATTTAATTTTTAACAGATTACTTGTGTTAAATCTATCTCTATGAAATTGCATGATACATTTTACGTGAAAACGTTTGTGATTTTTCGTTTTTACGTTGATTTTATGATTTATAGTGATCCATTCAGATTTCAATGTCATTCATCTTCATCGAGGTCGATTATGATGTATGTTGTTTTGTTCGGATTAGGGTGCTTCCAAAGCTAATTGACCTAAATTATGATGATTAATTAACGTCTAAACAACTCGATTTAATGACAGATTGAGACAAATTATGATGTATAAATATTGGAATAGAATATAGATCTAATTACTCAGCAAATGTGATATGTGTACAGATAGTTGTGGACTTTGCTGCTTCTTGGTGTGGACCTTGTCGGGTTATTGCTCCATTTGTAGCAGAATTGGCTAAGAAAATGCCACATGTTACCTTTCTCAAAGTTGATGTGGATGAGTTGAAGGTAAAAAGTAAAAATAGATTACTTTACTATTATAAAGAAATCTTACTCCCTTTTTTCCTTCTACAAAAGGTTTTAGTTTTTATTGTGATGATTCAAACTTAATATATTTCTATTATTTATGTTTCAAATGGTTTTTATGGTGATTCTTTTCACATTGTTAAAGTATAATTAGTCATCAAAAGGAAACAAGATAATGTCGAACGTGATTCATTGAACTTGGACTAAAAAATATGCAAAATTCAAACTTTTGTTGGTGTTGCTTGTAAAAACGATGAAAGAATGACATTTTAAATCATGTTATTTGTTTTTTCAATGTAAAGAAATCAAAGTAATTGAAAAACAAACAAAAAAAATACTATTTTCTTATACAAAAGTAAGTGATTTGGCAGAAACATCAATATATTGTCTTTTTTTGGCATTCTCATTTGGGAAAATGTCACGAAAGCTTTTATATTTTGTTCTTTTTTCCATAAAAGCCATTATTGAATCTTTATATGAGATGAAAGCATTTCAGCTTTTTGTTAATTTTACCATGAAAACCATTTCAGATTTTAAAATACTGGGTTTTTTTAGAAAGTTAACAAACCTCAAATGAGTTCAATTAATGAATTTAGTAAATGTTACAAATTTCTCTGGTGGCTTTAATGCAAAGTTAACAAATTTCAATGGCTTTAGTGGCCAATCTAGAAGGTAAAAAAACTTTAAGATAACCTTCAATGGAAATTTAGCAAAGGTTTTCATGGACTTTCTTCTTTTAAAAAAACGACTGACTTTTCTTGAAAGATGAGAAAAATATAAAAGATTCCGTAGCATTTTTGTTATATATATACAATTTCTATATAAACGGTTATTCTTAATTTTTTTTTACCTAGTTATTCTTGATAATTAGGTTGTGTTTGGAATTATTTATCCAAATTTTTTTTAGATCGTAATCTTTGTCAAAACAAAAAATAGCTTATAACTAATTTTTTTTAAATATATTCAAACTAGCGTTTCAATAAGTTTATTGAGTTTTCTTTTTTTTTAATTCCAATCTTCTACATTCCCTTTTATGTTATTTAACATATTTCAGCTATTTTACCAAATGTCTTTTTTATCATCTTATAGCTAGTTTTTCAATTAGTTTGTCAAACATAGCCTTAACGAACCACTCATTGAATAGCAAACACAACAACGAATGAGTTTTTCCATGGCTTCAAGAAACTCAAAACATTTATACTTTTAACAAATTTCAAGATCTTTAATTCATAATTATCTTTCTTCTAATTACAGGTAATTGCATCAGACTGGGGTGTTGAAGCAATGCCAACCTTCTTGTTCATAAAAGATGGGAAAAGTATGGGCAAAGTTGTTGGAGCAAAGAAAGAAGAACTTCAACAAACAATCATCAAACACTCTGGTAATTCAAGTACTAGTGCATGATGATGATGATGATGCATTGTGTTCAAAAAGAACCAAAATTACTCGCTTCTTTTTTTATCTCTTTCCATTCAACTTAGCATCTTATTTTAGAAGATGCACAAACACTTATTATCATCCTATGTGTTTCTTTCAACTTCCATTTGTTGATTCAAAATTTTAACAGAATAACATGCATATTTTTACCTACACTAATGAAAAGCTTTAATAAAGTTTAAACAAAGAAAAATGTTATATGTTAGACAATTTTACCTTTTTAACCACATATATTGTTTCTTTTTCCAATTTAACCATTTTGACCTGATATAATAATGACTAATAGAAAATTACTCCTAAATGTCAAAATGGTTAATTTGGAAAAGTGTCACGAACATTTACGGTTTTATTGAAAAAAAAAAGTAAAGTTTTAGTGCTTAAACCACAAAAATTCCTAAAATATAATGGTTTATATGTAATTTGTGCATACATTTATGTCAAAAAAAACATACCAAAAGTGCATTCCAACAACAAAAATATGGGATTCAATTGTACAAACCAATTTATTCCTTCCTAAATCACTCACTTTCACTATAAAAAAAAATCAACTCCTAAACAAATAAGCTAATTCTAGGGATTCATCTTATCTCCCATTACAACACTTACACAAACCACACCATTGACATTTTTGACACTACAAATTTGGTACTCAAGTTTTCCATTAAAAGGCTCTCACCAAATCTACTGAAATCATCAGTAAAAATGACAACGTATCTATATCCTCCTCTATTATTGTACAAATTGGTCAACAACAACATTAATAAAGACTAAATTCTCAAATCCAAATTGTTGTTAGTTACTTGTTATTGATCTTTTCACTAGTGAAACCTTAGTGGGGTCCCCACCAAGTTCTTCAAAAATCACCAATAAATTATTTTTTGGTTTTAACCAAGATCTAGGCACATGATACCTGAAACAATAATACCTAATTTGTCAGTAAAATGTTATGCTTTTGATTCATCCACTTAAAAAAAAAGGTGATTTGACTTTTATACCCTTAACTTACCATCTTTGGGTTGGTTGACCACATCCGAGTTGACAAGTCAACGGGCGGTAGGTCCCAGCATAATGACACCCTTGACAATTACCAGAAGCAAAAGTTGTCCAATATCTTCCTATGCTTTGACCATTGACCCATGCTTGACCTTTTCCCATACTATTCATGTCAAGAGCCAATGGTGAATCACCCTTAGGTGCAATGAAGTAAGCCTGCAAATTGACGAATTTGCCCTTGAGTTTCAGATAAAGATTCGTTTTTTCTGATACCCTTTATAAAGTTGGATTTGGGAATGAAATCTTTATTAGAAAATAAAGGTTTTTGATTATTGAGCATTGACATACCTTATGCCATGTTAATGGTTGCTGTTTTTGAGTGATTAAAGAATCTTGAGTCCATTTGATAGAAGATGTAGGATTTGAGGAGATGAGATTCATGGACTCTCCCTTTAGACCAACCTGTTCAAAAAAGATTCTTTAAGAATGATGGAATCATGGAAGGAATGGAATGGTTCATTCCATAGAATGAAACGGATGGAATGGAATGGATCATTCCTGAAGAAATGTTACATCATGGAACGGAATGGGAAATTTCAATATAACCCGTTTTATTTGGAATATCCAAAAGACACTAATTTTATTATATAACTTATTTGGGGTTCAATGAGCTTTTATTATGTTTAATTTTTTATTTTTTGTAAACGAAAGTTTGTTTATTATAATTCAAAAATAATGTATAGTATAGTTAGAATATATATATATATATATATATATATATATATATATATATATATATATATATATATATATATATATATATATATATATTCTATGACTCTATCTACATATAATATAAAAAAGTTAATAGGAAAATTCATTACATTTCTATAGGTGGAAACCAAACATGATCATGGAATGTAATGACAATGATAGAATTTATTACTTACAAAACTAAAAGCTAAACATAATAAAAGCTCAATAAAACTCAAATAAGATTATAATTAAAAAAATTACTTATTTTTTTTTATAAAAAACGGGTTATATACTTATATGCTCATATAACAGTTATTCATTCCATTCCAAAAAAAAAACTCCCACAGCCTAAGGAATGAAAATTAACACAATGGAAGATATCAAATTCCTTTCGGAATGGTCAATTCCATTCCATCAAACAATGGAATGAACAATTCCATTCCTTCTCTGATTCTAACCTTGTAACTCCAGTTGACCCATGACAAGTCCCTTTTCCCTTTGTCAAAACCATACAAAGCCACTGGACCTAAAACTCCAGTCTCCCATGTTTCATAATGTCCTCCAATATTCTTCACAAAATTAAAAAAATAATATTAACTTTTTTCAATTCCAATATTTATATAAATAAATAAATAAAATAAAATAAAAAACTAACCGGTAATCCCATGGCAACACTAAGTAGTGCAATTTTATTGATTCCACCATGTAAATTGATCTTTTCTTTATACATAACTTTCCTATGTTTTCTTGTTCCAAAACCAGAACCTAAAAAACACTTCAATTATTAAATAATTCTTTAAAAATAAATAAATAAATATATATATATATATATATATATATATATATATATCCGAAAATCAAACCTGAATATTCTCCATTTATAAACACATGAAGAGCATGTCCCCTTGATTGCACCAAAAGCTTTGGAAGCTCTCCTCCATGCAAAAAAGATTCAGATGAATCAACATCAACACTGTTAAAAAAACACATATTTTATTAAATCCAAACCAAAAAAATAAAAAATAAAATACAAAATTGGTTTACTTTACCTAGTTGTATACCAAAGATAATCACTAGTATCTCTTGTTATATTAATTTGCTCTAATAAACCCATTGAAGTAATTATAGAACTTTCATCAACAATATTTAAATCTTCATTATATGTCTCCCATGAAAACATCTTTGAATCACTCCATAACATCTCCATTTTGGTTGATTCAACTCCAATCTGTGACAATTTTATAATATATTATAAAAAATTTATATAAAAAAAAAAATTGTAAACTTTATAAAAAAAAAATACATACTTGAGCTGTATTAAAAGCAACATTTTTGCAATCAGGTAGGATACTAATAGACCAAGGGGGTAACGTATAATGCACATTATTAAATGTCACTTTTGCAGCATTATTCGGATCATAATTTGACAAAAAAGCTGCACATTGTGATTTAGGAGAGAATACATGAGCCTGAAAAAAAAATGTTAAATAATTAGTTACATAGTTTTTTTTTTTTGTTTTGATTTATTTAAATGAGAAAAAATAAATAAATAACCTGTTGGAGGCTTCCTAAAGAGGTGATAATAGGATCTGATGAAACTAAAGCAAGCTCACATTCCTTAATAACCTTGTGAAGCTCTTTTAAATGACCATATTTTGGTTGCCTTATTAAACCTACAAAAAGAAATAGCAATGTACTTTAATTCATTTGTTTATTATAAATTTATAATTTATAATTAGTAATAACATATTAAAATCTTACTTTCGTTTCTTTTAATTAGATTTTTTCAAAGTATAAGAAGAAATTGGAAGAAATGAAAGTAAGATACTATAAATGTAAATATGTAATACACAAATAAGTAAAAGTAGGTTGCTATTTATTGCATTTTAAAGTTTTAAAACTCACCATATTCATCAAGTGGAGCATCATAATCGTAACTAGTAGTGATGAATGGGCCTCCAGAAGAACGACCAAAGTTTGTGCCTCCATGATACTATTTTCCAATATTTTTTTTAAAAAAATGTAAGAAATAGAAATGTATTTTCATTCATTTATTTATTATAATTTATAAATTATAATGTGTTAATAAATGAGTAGATGAAAGTATTTAACCATGTAGTAATTAAAGAATGAGCCGCCCTTTTGTATGAACCGCGCAACGGAAAATGCCAAATCTTGAACCGGCCTCTCGTAGACCGGACCGCCAAATTCCGTGAACCTGACAGAATACAGAATACTGTCATACTGTCTGATTAAAGTGTTGTCTGGATAAATGATGTTTAAATAATATGTGAGAAAGTAAAAGCGCACTTAGGGGAATGAAAAGGGAAAAGTAAATTTGGGAAAGCGTGACTTTTTTACTTTTTACTTTTAAGTCGTCATTTCTGTATTAAATAAAAAAGAAAAAGAAAGAAAATTACGTACCATCCACTCCAAGCCTCGGTCCAAATTGTGGGTTTGTAAGGCTTGTTTGGTGAAAATTCATCGCAGTAAAAACCATTGCACGTGTTAATCTGCAGAAAAAAAAATAGTAAATATTAATTGGTTTTGGGCTACAAACAATTTTAAGTTTTTCCCCAATTTTATTAAAATGAAATTATTTTTACAATGGGATCGGGGGCATCATCTTGTTTGCACATGACCCATGGGACACCTGTCCCCAATTCTACAACCATATTTGCAGCCCAAGTCATGTAGTTATGTCCAGCACCTCCATATGCCTTTCCTACCGATCCATATTCATTTTCAATCTGCAAAAAAACAACAATTAATTACTAATTTAAATATTTTTTAATCAATTTAGTTTAAGAAAAGGGCAATTTACCAGGAAAAAAAACATTATATTTTGGGCAGCTTTGCGGCTTAACCACTAATAGTCCAATACTATATTTTTTTTAAAACCAAACTATAAACGTTTCAAACAATTTTCCAAAATAAACCATTTTGACCTTTTAGATCAGACACAGGAATTTTGACCAGTGGTCAAAACGGTTAAGTCTATGTTTGGCACGCCACAATTAGCTTATAAGCTAGTTTATTTTTCTAGCTTTTTTAGGGTGTCATGTTTGGTAAACCAAAAAGCAGCTTATAAGCTAGCTTTTTATAAAGCTACTTAGGTTGTGTTTGACGATCAACACTTAGCTTATTTTTCGAATTTTTTTAAGTTGGTATGTTTGGCAAACCAAAAAAGTAGCTAATAAGCTAGTTTTTTAAATAGCTACTTAGGCTATGTATGGCATACTAGCTGAAAAGCTAGTTAAATAAAAAGTTAGCTGGTAGCTGAAAAGCTAGCTAATAAAAAATAACATGTGGTAAAACTAGCTGAAAGATTAAAATGACATAAAAGGACATTTAAAAGAATGTGTTTCTATAATTAATTAAGGGGTATATTTGGAAAATTTTAAAAAAACTCCTAAAAAGCTAGTTTATAAGCTACTTTTTGGCTTGCAAAAGATGACAAAGTTAAAAAAACTCAAAAAATAAGCTAGCTTATCAGCTAGTTGTGACGTGTCAAACACAGCCTTATACTAGCTTTTTAGAAGCTTTTTAAAAATTTTTCCAATATACCATTAGTTAATTATGAAAAACATATTTTCCTAAATGCCCTTTTTATGTCATTTTATATCTTCCTAAATGCCCTTTTTATGTCATTTTATATCTTCCTGCTAGTTTTTTAACTCGGATGCCAAACGTCATTTTACATATTTCGTCTGGCTTATCAGCTAGTTTTACCAAACCTCATTTTTTATCGGCTAGCAGCTACCATTTCATCTTTCTAACTATTAGCTAGTTTTTCAGTTAGTCTGCTAAACATAGCCTAAATTGGAAAAATGTCTTAAACTTTTATGGTTTTATCAGAAAAATAAAGTATAAATGATTACTAAATAGACCGAGAAATTGCCAATGGATTTTCCGGAATTTAGCCACACAAACAAATTGAATTTTCATACAAATGTTGGAATCAAGATTCTGTAAAAACACACAACAATAATCTCAAAAAAATGGTTATTATACCTGTGAAAGAATAATTGGGCCTCCTTGAGATTCAAACATCTTTTCACTCTTCATCAAATTCACTATCTTCTCGGTGAACCCTTTCATCGCACTCTGCAAAAAAAAATTATAAAAAAATAAAATTAAGCTTTTTTGTTGTAGTTATTAAATTCATTTTCATGCATAAATTAAAATTAAAAAAGAAAGAAAATTGTGACCTTAAATGGCTCATTATCGGTTCTGAAACTAATCCCGGGAACATACTTCAACCAAACTGGAAATCCTCTGCAAAAAATAATTTTTAATTATTTATAAAGTAAAATTGAAAATGATCCAAATATTTTGACACATGAAAAATTCCTTTTTATGAATTTTGGCATTAAAAAAAAAAGGTAAAACATAGAAAATTACCCAAAATTCCATTCTGCACAAATATAAGGTCCGATTCGAAGATGAACATACATCCCTGCTTTTTTCACTGTCTTCAAGAACTTCACTAGATCATATCGCCCTTCAAAATTATACTGAAATTTCACAAAATCAATGAAAAAAACAATTAAATAAATAAATAAACCTTAATTTTGTATCATAAAATTACAAAAATTAAACCCAAAAAAAGAAAAAAATTAAAATCAAAGTACATTGCCGGGAGACGGCTCATGAACATTCCAAAACACGTAAGTATCAATCACATCAAGCCCTCCATCTTTCGCCTTCTTTACAAGATCTTCCCACATCTACAAACAATTTCATCAAAACCCCCCACAAATTCAACTTCATTAATTCCCACATTTTTCATCGATAAATTAAAAAAAAAATCGTAAAATGTGAATGGTTTTTAGGGTACCTCAGGGGTGCTTCTGGTGTAATGTATGGAACCAGAGATGAGAATTCTTCTTTCGCCATTGATAACAATGGCTTTGCTATCGTAAGTAACACTGCATTCGTTTATTTCAAAACCCAGTTGAAAAATCATCAAGAACAATAAAACCCATTTGCTTTCCATGTTTTCCGAAAGGAAAAATCTCAAATTACGAAGAAAAAGTGTTTACAGAGAGAGAATGTGTGTTTGGGGAAGAGGAAGAAAGGGGTTTTTTTTGTCGACAGAAAAACACCATTGACACTGAGATCTAGAGTTTATGTGAGTGTGTGTATATATAGATATAGTGTAGTACAGTGTGTATGTAACTATGTATGTATAGGTGTATACGCATTACATACATGGCGACATATACATAATGACTTTCAATTGCTGACAGAGGTCGAGAGGCTTTCTTGACTGCGTGACAGCAACTGGGTACCCTTTGTTGTAAAGCGAGTGTATAAGACGACAGGTTGAAGATACATTATTAGATTTTAAATGAAAAAAATAGTAAATGGAGAGAAATATAATATTATTTATTTTTATTTTAATGAAACAAGGGTCAATCAAATCATCATATTTTAAAATATTTATGATAATATAATTAAATGAATTGTTGTTTTGATAAAATATTGAATTGAATTATTATCATATAATTTCAATATTTGTTTTTCGATCTGCGAAGTAAAATAAGATAATAGACATATTGATAATCATGTCAATAGCATATGGTATACTCATACACTTATTGTTAGGAAGTAAACGTATAAAACACGAAACCATACATACAAAGACACTATTTACATGGTTCGGTTAAGGTGACATACGTTTATGGATAGGAAGAATATTATTATTCTAAGAGTTCTTAAATAGGGATTACAAGTACAATTTCACAAAGATTCATCTATTCATGAGAACTCAAGACACCAATAAATAACAAACAGACATCTCTATTTATAGACTACGGATCAGATCTAAAACCCTAATGGGTCAAACCCATCAATCCATAGGCCCATAAAATGAGTCAACCAAACACAATCTGTCATCCAGATGCTTCTAGAACCTTCAACCTGGAGAGACATTGCATGAACATCAATTATACACATGATAGTGCATCATGATAGCGCATCATGATAGCGCATCCTCCATCATGATTACACACCATGCCATTTAGGGCATCCACTTTGAGTACCTTCAACTTCATATCATCCGTAGACTACCTTGAGCACCCCTAGCATACTTAACAACTTAAGTGGTGCATCAAGAGCCACAATGGCACACCATGAACCTATGTGGCGCATCATGCCTCCTAATGGTGCATCATGATGCTTAAGTGGCGCATCATGATCATTAAGGGTGTATTTTTCCTTTAGCAACACATCAACAACATATCGATACCTCGGAGCACAATGAGGCACACAATAGTGGCACCTTTCACCAAGATAGTGCACCTTGATTATAGGTGGCGTACCTTGTCCTAAAGGTGGCGTATCTTGATCATAAGAGGCACATCTTCCTTCACGACGCATCAGATGATGCTCCGATCCCTTATCAAATGCTCTAGACTAAACTCCAAATGCTTCAGTGTGATCCCTGATGCGCATACGTTCTTCTAAGTGTTTTATTGAGTTTCCAAATGATTCAACGAAACTTGATGCTCCATGAGAATGCTTCAAATGCTTAAGTCATATTTAACAATCTCCACTTTAATTTGAGTATTCTCTCAAGTCTCAACTCCTCTAGAAACCAATAACTTCCTCTCTCGTCCTGCCATCTTTCTTCGTAGGAACTTGACACCTATAAACATCAGCCAATTTCAAGAAAAACTTGAACTTCTTTGTGGGAAAAGAGTTTGTCAACATGTCTGTTGGATTCACCTCGGTATCAATCTGTAGTATAGAGAACTTTTTCTTCTTCCAGAATGTCACAAATGAAGTTCAACCTGAAATCAATGTGCTTCTTTGTCAGACTCAACGCACTCTGACTTTCATAGTATAAGACATGCTTCTTTACCTTCAAACCAAGACTCTAAATGAGCCCATGCAAACATATCCCTTCCTTTATTTCGTCCTTCATAGACATGTACTTCGATTTAGTTATAGATAACGAAACAGTATCTTGTAATGTTGATTTCCAACTTACAACATCTAAATCGAGTGTAGATATAACACGTCAGTGATCTTCGTTTCACCAGATCACCACCATGGTTTGAGTCAACATATCTGCAACGACCCAAAATTTCCATCTGTGAACAAGGTTAGTTTCCGCTACTTGAATATTAATTTCCGTTAGCAATTTCGGTTTTATGATTATAAATTCGAATGAAATAAAATATATATAAAAAAAAGAATTTTATTTTCTACCTAAAAGAATGGTCAAAATATTTAAATTGGGTGTATTTAAGATAATTAGTAGTCATTAAATGGGTTAATAGGTTTGAGGGACCAAAGTGTCATTAAATGTAACTTGAATTGTTATCTTATTAGGGTTACGGGTGTTTGGAATTTACTTATGACGCTTGAAGGACCAATTGGTAAAAATATGGTATAACTTCCAAGGAGTTGGATCGCTCCTACTTCTTACGTCTGTTTTTGGCATGATCGAATTAAGAGGTTGGCTCCAAGAAGATCGACTCCTAATTCCTCTCTTGCGTGTGTGTCGACTGAAAAAAAAAATAGAGGGAAAAGTGACGTGAGTCAAGCAAGGCAGAGAGAGAGAGAGAGAGAGAGAGAGTGTGTGTGTGTGTGTAACGGGATTGAGAAATAGAACCGAGGCAGAAGTAGTGTAGGAGCTACGATTTTGTTATTCAATTCGGGGCTAGGACTCGATCTTGGTAAGCCTTTGATTTCCTTCTTATGAAATTCATTCACTGATTAATGAGAATTGGTTGAAATCATTGTCAGTTGCTTTCTCTTTGACATTCTTGATCAAATTTCTTTCTACTCTCAATTCAAGTGGTTATGTGTGATTAAACTCCAGACATATTGGGTGTGTTTTGATGGTTTATGGCTGTCAAAAATCTTGTTATGAACAGCCTCAAAAGTGTTGTTAATCATGTTTAAGAATTTGCTCAAAATCATGGAATCAATGCCTTCTTTTTTGTTGTTAGAATTCATGTTTCTTTCTATCTTAATTCTAGTGATTTTATATGAGGTATTTTTCTGCATAAATACCATGTTTTGAACCATCCAAAAGGTTCTCAAAACAGTCCTTAAATGTATTTATATGTGGCTTAATGGTGGATGAAACTCAAACCCCAAATTGTGTTTTCTCTTTTAGCATCATACTTTGTTTTTCTATTAAAAGCATTGTATTTTGAGTCATGGTTTGAAGTTGGAATATCCTTTTTTCCCTTAAAATCATTGTATTTCCAGCTTGGAAGTTGTTTTTGGTGTTAAGATGTAAATTTACCCTTAAAAGTCAAAGTTGGGAAATTATATGAAAATACCTATTATGTCCCTGTTTTGTAAAAATTCTAGAAAAATCATTAGGAGTCGGATTTAGGATATGTAAAGTCTCAAAGTTTAGATTTTGAGTCTAGTATCTCCTTGATTTTCCCTGGACCTGATGTTGACTCTAACTAAAGTGAAAATCATCTTTCACAGATTGGTCTGGATTAGCAGCATTGATATGCGGTTTTGTAAAATTCATAGTATAATGTAGAAAAATTGTATGGACCTGTACAAGTAGTCCCTAGAAATCTAAAAGTCTAAAGTACTGGAATATGGAAACATATTGTATCTTTTGAAGGCTTTGGTGGTGCTAAAGTGGCCTTGAACTGGCTGTTGTTTCAGGTCGAAAGTATGGGAATTTGGTCTAGTAATTCGTTTACATGTTTGGGGTATAGAATAGTCATTTTTAATCTTTAAAACATCCAGTAATATACTTGTTTGTATTGTATTATGGTAAAGCTTGATACCTCAAGTTCTTGCGTGACTCAAAGAGGGAAAGAGCATTTCTTGACAAATATGAGTTAATCTTTGTCGAATTTAAGTACTTTGTTAGGAAATTTCATATATTAGATATTAGAATGAACCTAGGTTGTATAGGTTGCATGTACACCTATTGTGTATGATTTTCCATTGGTACTGTTGAATTCATTTATTTGTATGAGAATGTAGGATGCATTATATGCTAGATTCTTATTTTTTATGTGAGATGTGCATTAGGTCCATGATAAAAAGAGGGTTTTGTGTTGTTTATATGTGATGTATGCATGTGATAGTTTCATTTTATTTACTTCTTTTTATAGTTTATTTTAGCATATTTCATCTATAATTTAGTTAATTTCCATGCATATTTTCCTTTTTGTTATTTTATGACCATTTCGGGTACTTTCTAGTTTTATGAGCTTAATTGCAGATTTTAAGGAGATTAGCGGAGTGGGATCTTTAGGAAGCGATTGGACTTAGAGGATGTCAAGGATCTTGGGCTTTATAATAATGGAAGTTGATGCATGGAGCGGGCTTGATGATTATTTGAAGGCTTGGAGAAAATAAAGTTTGAATTTGCAAGAACCGGAAGAATATTCGAGCATGTGGAGATTAATGATCAGTTGATTACGTGAGCTATAGATCATTTGGAATAGTCATCCTGGGGTTAAATTGAAGAAAACATGAAGAATCATGGACTACAAGCTTAGTGGACTCGAACTGGGCCAGTGGGATATGCTTTGGAGGCCCAAAAACTCAAAGAAGCCCATATCAGGCACCACCCGCGCAACAGCACGCGGGTCGCGCACAGCACTGCTGGGGCAAATTCGAAATTTCATTTAGAAGGCTATTTGAGGAAGCTTGGTGCCCATCTTTTGCGGACTCTTGCACATCCGAAAATTCATCATTTCTCTGGAGATTTTGGAGCATTTTGAAGGCCAAGAACCCTCAAAAACTTCATCATTTTTGCTCTTGAATCTTGTAGAATGTTTGGTAAAATCTTTTCTAACTTTGTTTCTTTAGGTTTAGCCATGCTTGGCTAAACTAAACTTGGTTGACTTTTGTTGAATCCTTTGAACTTTTGTTGAATGTTGAAGAATCCATAAACTTGTTCTTAAATCTTTATGGGAATGTTTTGTGTTTTAACATCTTATCACTACTTGTATGTTTTTATTCATGAGTTTAAATGTGTTTGTGGTGATTAGTTGGCTAATTTCTTGATTAAGTAAAGGATCCTCAAATTAGCAAGCAAAAAATGATTGTTTTTGTTAGTTTTGCTTCACACAATCATAAAAACATTTCCTCCAACATGGTAGTGAAAGCATTTGACTCCTCTTGGATTTGGTGACTTTTTAGTTCTTAATGCTAGTTGACTTTCACTAATTACATGCTTAATGGAAATTGTGACTTTGACTAAGGAAATTGTTATGAGTTTCTCTAACCATTTTAACAACTAAGAAAAGTCTAGGTAATCTCAAGCTTCTTGGATTACTATAGCCAAATTAAGGATTTAAATCAAGTATTGCACCATTGGATTCTAATGATATGTTCATCAAAAGTCAAAGTGAGGAAACCTTAAGTCAATCATCCTTCCCTTATTGATTTTACATCAAACTCTTATTTTTGTTGAAATTGTCTATTTAAATCTTAGTTTAATTCTAGTTTATTTCAAGTATTTCAAAAGACCAAACCCCCCCCCCCCCCTTTTTTAATTTATTGTCATTTTACAAGTATATTTACAAAGAGATTTTTCATAGAGATATAAAATTGAACCAATCTCCGTGGATTCGATCCCTTTACCGCTATACACTATTTTAGTGTGTAATATTTAGGGTTATTAATTTTGTTGGCCTCGACAACCACCAAATTTTGGCGCCGTTGTCGGGGATTAGTTTATTTTTAATCAATTTGTTTCTCTATGCCTAGATCTCAACGTACAGGTGCTTTGATTTATAATCCAGAAATTGAAAAAGAAGCAAGACGTTTGGCGAAGGAAAAGAGTATAGAACGTGGTAAAACTTCAAATCCTCACGGGGACCCGGAGGTTGAAACCGCTTCATCAAGTGACACGGAACCCGATTCGCCAAGAAATTCCCGAAACACCACCCCTACAACAAAATCCACCCATTATTGAACCAATTGCAATGGCGGACGGAGGAGAAGCTCCTGAAAGAACCTTGAGGCAAATGATGGAAACCGATGTTACACAAACTCCAACCGGTATCAACTACCCGGTTTTGGAAGGAGGTTCGGAATTGAAGTCAAGTTTAGTCCATCACCTTCCAACTTTTCATGGATTAGAGAATGAAGACCCTCATAAGCATTTGAAGATGTTCCACATTATTTGCACTACTATGAAGCCCCAAGGGTCAACCGATGACCAAATCAAATTAAGGGCATTCCCCTTTTCATTGGCCGGTAGAGCAAAGGATTGGTTATTCTATCTTCCACTGGGGTCAATCAACTCATGGACCGACATGGCAAGAGCTTTTCTTGACAATTTCTATCCCGCTTCAAGAGTCTCAAGTCTTAGAAATGAGATTTATGGAATCCGCCAAGGTTAAAATGAGACTTTTCATGATTATTGGAAGAGGTTC